GTCAATTTTCAATCCTCTACTGCATTACTACATAATTTGTTTTACTGATGCCAAAGTGCCTACTTTACTCAAAGAAACATGTAATTAACCTACTGCCACCACATGGCATTAGCAATATCCAAAATTCTCAAAGATTTTGTGCTTCCCCCCCTTTCAGCTGCTTCTTTTTTTTTTTTTTTTGTTTTTTGTTTTTTTTCCGTGTCCGGCAACGGATCGCAACCCTCAGTGTTGCCCCCGTACCGGACGGGGGACCAGCAACGGGATTGCAAGCCTCGGTGTTGCTCCCGCGCCTCGCTCAGCCAGTGAGCGGGAGCGGTCTGTATGTGGGATCCGAACCCTCGGATGGGAGTGCCGCCGTGCTTCCCAAGCGGCGCACCATCCAGTGCGCCACCGGGCTGGCCCCTCAGCTGCTTCTTTATGTGTGCTCCTTTGACTCTGAAAACAGCCCAACTAGGTTTAATATGCTTTTAATATTTTTCTTAATATGCAGAAACATATTTTTTCTATCATATAGGGTAAGTGCTTTTAGACACTTGATCAAGAAAGTCAAACATATTTTACCATAATCTTTAGCAGCCTTTAAAATTTTGAATTTACCATAAATTTTCACTTAAGTCTGGAGGTGAGTAGTGAGTTTATCTTTTAATAATGTTTGAAATGTATTTAATTATTTAGAATTTTTAAAAAATCTTGCTTCGCTGCATAATTCATACCAAGATGGCCTAAACCAATACAGTTTGCCAAATCACTTCCAAAGTCAATCTTATTGACGATCTAGATTACGTATAAGAATTTAACTATCACCACAAAGCACTGAGGGAAGACTTCAAAGAAAAAAAAAATCATTTCAATAGACTATTGGATACAAGAAATGCATATCCTCCTGCAGTCAAAAATGAAGAATTGGCAACGACAAATACAAATTCTGGCCATCAATTTATAGGTCTAGGGTACTTATTCTCAAACTCAGGAACACAAAGTTCATTTTCTTTGCTCATGTATTTTTATAACTTCTTTCTAATTACAAACTGCACATGTGCTACAGAAAATCTAGAAAGCTATGTAGAAAAAAAGAGAAGTCATATAAATCCCCAGTCCTCAGAGAAAACCATAGGTAAATAGTTATATTTCCTTCTATGCCTTTTTTTCCTCCATTTGTGTGCATGTGTGTATTTTTTAAATCGGCATCAAGTAGTATATAAAATATGGATTGCTGCTTGTTTTCACTTAGCATCATTTATTATGATCTGTTGGAAAAAAATAAAATTAGGGGCCTTTTAAGAATATTCATAAAGACATTTACAACAGCGTTCAAAAGTTTTTCTGTCCATCTTTACAAAGTTATATTTTCTTGAGTAGAGTACGCGTTTTCAACTAATTAAATGAGCTAATAGAAAGAATCTTGTATTTAGCCTGGTACACAGTAGGTGCTAAATATTAGTTCTTTTTCCCAGCTCCCTTTCTGGCACTCAGCCCCTGACTTCTGGGCCTTTTATACTGACAGCTGAATTTTATCACTGCAGGGCAGATGTATGAAGAATCTGACTTTAGTTATGACCATAAACACACATACCTAAATAAGCTAGCTCCCCTTCCTCCAATTCCATAAAAGAATTTAGGACAGTATTCATATGAGAAACTGTGACTGTGTTTCAAAAACATAACAATAATATCATGCATAATGTTTCACAGGTAAGAAAAATCTTTGCTTTACAGATGAAATTCACCCTCGGAAAAATCTACTCATTAGGCAAACTACGTTCAAAAGAGAGTGTGTTAAACATTTTAAACATGTATTCAATGAATATCTCTTTGACCTGAAATTGTCCATATTGTTAGCTAAAAGTTGCTATTAAGAACTACCTGGTCATGACAAAGTCCTTTTTTATAAAAGATGGGGGACAGGCAAGGCTTTCAGCCACTGCTAGCCTCTCAGCAGTCTATACAGGAACTGCTGTCCATCTTATACTTCTCTCAATGAAAACTAAACAACGAAGTCTTCTGGGTGGCAACTGGAAAAGTCAGATAGGGACTCAGTTTTTCACAGACCCATCTTTTAATTTATATACAACCTGGTATAAAGAATATGTTGCCAGATGCCCAAGCAAAAAAAAAAAAAAAAAAAAAAAAAAAAGTGCATGGTACCTACAGATATGCTACACAAATTAGTGGATTCTTCTAGAAGAATATAAAGAATGAAGTGCAATTTTCCTGGCAGTTTGTTTATACAAATTATCAACATAGTTAGCATAGATCACTATGGCAAAAAATGTCAGGAAAGGAATCTAACAATTGTATAGACTGAATAAATGACAGACTGCATATTCCACTGAATATTTCTACATCATATAACATTATTCCCAGAATACATTCCTGCCTTTGTTCAAAACACAAAAACATGGGTTGGAGAAACCCTTCATCACACACCTATCTCCTTACCAATGTGTGTAAGGTGCTCCAAGAAAATCGACATCTGATTTTAGCATAATTGTAAGAGAAAATATTTGAAGGAACCCCCTCTATTCCCAAGGGAAGGAGTGTGAAGGATTTCCTAAAGACAATTTTCAGAGTCAATTAAGTTATAACATAAAGGTATTTTCTAAGAGGAATCAAAATTCTTTTCCTTTTTTGCTCATAACATAAGCTAAATTAATAACTGCAAAAATTACCACTAGTGTTTTCTCAGCTGGTAGTTGATCTTACAAATTGATTCTGAAGTACATAGCTAGGTGTACGAAAGAATAATATTCTAAACCATTCAACAAATATTTTAAAATGTAAGTAAAATTCTCATTTTAAGATAACTATATAACATTTATTAAGACAACCAAATAAAATTACCATGGAGGGAGGATGAAAGGGATGATAAAAGGCTGATAAAAATGTATTTTTCCTGGGACATTATTTTATTTCCCAATTACTGGGTTTAGAAGAGACAAAATGTAGAACTACTTTTCAAAAAAACTGGTTACAAAATGCAGAACAATTTAATTGAACACTTAGTTATTTTTTTAAAGTGACCTGTAAATATTTCCTGTTGATGAATTTCTAATTGTTTTCGGCCTGAGTAGTCTGAAAACAATACATAGAATTATGGTTGCTAAGAAAAAAGAGGGATATTTCTAAGTGAATGCCTTCAAGTCCTTTGTTCTCATCATGCATCAGAATGACTGTGTGCAGCATTTAAGGCATAAAAGAAAGTGAAAATTCAGTTGAATCTGAATACTGTATTTTGCTTTTTAGAACTCCAGTTCTCCACTCTATGTTCTGCCTTTAAGATTCTTCAGGAAACAAAATAAAAAAAAATTAAAATATTCTTAAATGTAATCCCATGTATTTCTGCACCATACCAGTGTGCTACTGAGTATATTACATATCCTCCCAGTACACATTTAAGGAGGTAGTACAGGTCAAGCAGTAAGAAAATGCTTATTTCTTACCTACAATATTCTGCTAAAAATCATTTGATTATGCTTCACTGCTATGCACTACAAGTTTGGTAGATATCAGAACTAAAAGTTATTTAAATAAATACTGCATTGGCTGTATAAAAGTAAATCCTTCAGATGCATGATAAGACCAAATATATCTATACTTGCCGTTCTTAAAAGTTTGTAGGGGTATAGTATTAAAAGATAAACAAAGCTGTCCAGCAAAAATTTTCCTCAAAAATATAAGTACTAAGATCCTGTATTTAGATTTTTGGAGGTATTGTTTATAACCACAATGCAAATGTAAAGCCCTTTAACAATGAATGAAATATCTGTTGGCTAAAAGTTGAAAGATGAATTGTGGGGGGATTATGGTGAGAATTACTCTCTATGTTACACTTTATACTTTTCTGTATTAAAAAAAAATTTTAGCCAATAAATGGCTAGCAAAGTTCAAATAATGAAAGTTTACATATAAAGAACAATTCAAAAACTCTGGAGCATCTATATAGATTTAAAGGGAGGTGAGGAATCATGACCACTTGGACAACCAAAACTGAAACAAATTTTCTAGTTTTCTTAGAATTCAAGTAAATCTCAACAGGAAACAGGAAATTTTCCTTCAAAAAGAAAATAAAAGAAAGTGAAAAATATTTCAATCTGAAGGTCCTTAAAAATAACAAAAAGATGATTTTTTAAAAAATGTGATGTGATTGGCTCAAATATTCAAGGATAAACTTCAATTTCTGAAGTGATGCTTCATTTGGGGCTGAATAAGGTTTTTCTACCTCCTATTTTTATTACAGAGATAGGACCACAGTGCCAGCAATACTATAGGGCATGCAGAAAGCCTGCTAAGCATGAACAAAATCTTATTAAATTCAGTGTATTAATGAATTTCTTGCGGTTAACAAACGTAATAGTATCATATAAACTTTCTTCCAGTTATACAAATAGAAAATCACATTTACACTGTTATAAAATATCACTTAAATAGTCAAGTAATGTCAATTTTTAATGTTATCTACAGCTTTATTTCTAAAAGTAAAAAAACCCATTTTCCTTATCTGGTTAAACTAATACAGATTTTTTAGAAAGAGCTACAAATTAGTTTTATAAACTTTAAGTGCCACATACTAACTGGAATCCATAAATCAGTATAAATAATTTGGTCCAATAATTTATTTCAATTAATTTATTGAACTACCTGGATATTTTCAAGCACAACTCAAATCCATACCACATGACAAACAGAAGAACCATTGCACATCAAAAAAGCTATTTGAACATGCAAGCAAGCTACAACTGACAAGTTATACAATCTTATCTTGGCCATTAAAAACACATATTTCTTTCCTAGTTCATGTCTAAGACGAAATATAAAATTTCTTAGCTGAGACTCCAATATAATTTGTTAAAACTCTCAATTATGTATTCAGAGTAATTAGGTGTTTTCAAAAGCTAAATAAATCTTACCTTTATATAGCCCCAAGACACTGACAGTAAATAGTTTGCTTCAGGCATTTTTGATTGATTTTATATATATATATAAATATATACAGAGAGAGAGATAGTAAATTCTAAAATGTGTATTATCTTCAAAATGTGGACATTTAAACAATTTCCAAAAGCCACGAAGCGTGTAGGTTTTTAAAGATTTTTGGTAATTAAGTATACATAAGAAAGCCTCGCATTAGATCCCATCCAGCCGTCTTCCCATTGAATACATGCCATTTGTAAAATTCCAGGACAGAATAAAATTCAACGACTATTCTGAATAAAGCAAAAACAAGTGAGAAAGGAATATCTAAAGATCTAAGGGTCTGCATCTTTCTCTCCCTGAGTTCCAGGGCTTAATGAATAATGTATGTCAAGATGCTTAGCTGTAAGAAAGACTAGTTCTGTCCAGAGCTACCAAATAAGGAACTGCAGAAAAGCCATAAAGGGTGACAAGAAACCTCTCCCATAAAACCCCAACTACGCACCAATCGCAATCCACCCCTGGGTCTTTAAGGGCAGGGGGCGTGGACTCGGCACAG